TAACATGGAGTCTGTCTCCAAAGCCAAGGTATGAAATTGCAGTAGAACATACAGCGCCAAGATATGGCACACAGGCTACATCTACCAGCCACAGTCTCGTAAAAGAATCCCTGCTGTGAGGATAAGGCAGAGTCCGGCCATTCATCTCCTTTTCTTCCTTGTGTTTGCTATCTAGGCAAATCTGGAGAAGATGTGCCGCACTCTGGAAGACCAGCTGAGTGAGATCAAAACAAAGGAGGAGCAAAATCAGCGCATGATCAATGACCTCAATACTCAAAGAGCTCGTCTGCAGACAGAATCGGGTGAGACATTCTCATTCCTGAGGTGCAATGGGAGGACCTGCATGCCATGAGGCATTGAGCAACCTGGTATAGTGGAGGGTATCCCTGCCCATGGCAAGGGGGTTGGAATTAGACGATTTTTGAGGTCCCTTCCAACCCTAACCATTCTATGATTCTATGATTCTGTGAGGACACCACAGGGTGCAATATGATAACTTGCATCTCAGAGCAAGATCACAGGGGTTTACAGAAACAAATGTTTTTAATAGTCTAGTTAGTTACTTTTTTTTTCACTTGACTCTTCTTAGGTGAATATTCACGCCAGGTGGAGGAAAAGGATGCTCTGATTTCTCAGTTATCTAGGGGCAAGCAAGGATTTACCCAACAGATTGAGGAACTCAAGAGACACCTAGAGGAAGAAGTAAAGGTCTGGAAGTACCCTACTGTCCAAAACCTACATCATCCCTAAAAGCATTTGGAAAATCCTGTCTTATCTAAGACTGATTCAATAGTCTTTCCCCAAACACATGTATTACTGGAGGGAACACCAGTACTGCACATATCCCAACTCCTAAGCTAGACATGGAAAAAAGCGTAATGATTTTGCTGCTGGAGGAAGTCATCCGCAAGGCTTGCATGAGATTCTGCTAATAATCTCTAACACAGGATTCAGACACATATGTCAAACCATTTACAGAAACAACAGATTACTGTCCCCAGAGTATGTGTCACTAACATATCCTGATCCTCCAGAACACACTGATGAAGGCTTCAGCAGCTCCCAGCTTTGCATTTGCTTAATTAGAGTTTCATTCTAATTTCACCACCAATTTCATTGTCAAGAGGCATCTCAAGACAAGTATTCAGCTTATCAATCCCAATATCTCCCCAGGCCAAGAACGCCCTGGCCCACGCCTTGCAGTCTGCTCGCCACGACTGTGACTTGCTCCGGGAACAATATGAGGAGGAGCAGGAAGCCAAAGGGGAGCTGCAGCGTGCCCTGTCCAAGGCCAACAGCGAAGTGGCCCAGTGGAGAACCAAATACGAGACAGATGCCATTCAGCGTACGGAGGAGCTGGAGGAGGCCAAGTATGTAGGAAGTGGGATGTTGAATTGCTGGAGAAGGCTGAGACTGTTAAGGGAATTTGGAAATTAGAGTCTCTGAGAGTGGGTTAGGACAGGGGTGGGACAAGGGCAGGAATATATGGTCTTTGTATTAGAGGAGAGGGAGGAAGGGAGAGGAAGAGTGCTGTGGAAAAAGTGTAGATTGAGAGGGCAAGCATACCCTTTAGGGCTAGAAATGCTCAGAAAAGCCGAATACTCAGTAGATACTAGGACACAGATGTGGTAGCTCTAAGCTGGAGCTATGCTTCTGTCCTCCCAGGAAGAAGCTGGCACAGCGCCTGCAGGATGCAGAGGAACATGTTGAAGCCGTCAATGCCAAATGTGCTTCTCTGGAAAAGACAAAGCAGAGGCTGCAGAATGAAGTGGAGGACCTGATGATTGATGTGGAGCGATCCAATGCTGCCTGCGCAGCTCTGGATAAGAAGCAAAAGAACTTTGACAAGGTATTTTGGGCTCCAGCCCTGGGCTTCCTGGGCAGAGCATCCCCTCCTGATAGCCACATCCATACTGAGACCCTGTTTCTCTTCAGATCCTGGCAGAGTGGAAGCAGAAGTATGAGGAAACGCAGGCTGAGCTGGAAGCCTCCCAGAAGGAGTCTCGCTCTCTCAGCACGGAGCTGTTTAAGATGAAGAATGCCTATGAGGAGTCCTTGGACCACCTGGAAACGCTGAAGCGTGAGAACAAGAACTTGCAACGTAAGTCCCTGGCCCTCTGCTCCCGGCAGGGCTTTCTCACAACCCCCCACTACCCACCACTCTACACGGGGGTCTGCAAAGATGCCCATCACCTTGGTGTGTCAGGGCCCTTCCCGTCCATCTTTGTGTCTGACCATGCCATTGGTCTTTGTTCCCATAGAGGAGATTGCTGACCTCACGGAGCAGATTGCTGAGGGAGGAAAGGCGATTCATGAGCTGGAGAAAGTCAAGAAACAGATTGAGCAGGAGAAATCTGAACTCCAAGCCTCCCTGGAGGAAGCTGAGGTACACACAGTGCTAACAGTGCCCAGACTGAAAGTATGGGAATAGTTATCTGCAGAGATGGCAGGAAAGCTAGCCTAGATTTCACGAAATATTGCACAAGAGATTACTTAGAAAGGAAGCAGTAGTTCAAGTTACTGTTCCTTCTGACTTGTCCAGGCCTCTCTGGAACATGAAGAGGGGAAGATCCTGCGCCTCCAACTTGAGCTCAACCAGGTGAAGTCAGAGATTGACAGGAAGATAGCAGAGAAAGATGAGGAGATTGACCAGCTGAAGAGAAACCACCTCCGAGTCGTGGAGTCCATGCAGAGCACCCTGGATGCTGAGATCAGGAGCAGGAAGGAAGCCCTGCGGCTGAAGAAGAAGATGGAGGGAGACCTGAATGAAATGGAGATCCAGCTGAGCCATGCCAACCGCGTGGCTGCAGAGTCACAAAAGAACCTGAGAAACACCCAGGCAGTGCTCAAGGTATGTTAAGCAAAGAAATGACATCCTGACATTTTTTGGCACCAAAGTGCCTTGTGATTTCTCGTCTCTTTTACAGGATACCCAGATACACCTGGATGATGCTCTCAGGACACAGGAGGACCTGAAGGAGCAGGCGGCCATGGTGGAACGCAGAGCAAACCTGCTGCAGGCTGAAATCGAGGAGCTCCGGGCAGCCCTGGAGCAGACGGAGCGGTCGAGGAAAGTGGCTGAGCAGGAGCTGTTGGATGCCACTGAACGTGTGCAGCTTCTCCACACCCAGGTCAGGCACTCTGCCCAAAATTAATACCATCAAAAAGGTATAACACAATGAGTTTACTATGTATCTTGTAAGTGGTTACTATGTTAACACTTGAAAAGCTATTCCATAATAGGGCAAATCCAGCCAGTCATCTGTGTCTGGTTTCCTGCTGTGTCTCGAAAGAGGGCTCTTGCCTTGAAGACTTCCATAAACAATACTCACACTTTGAATTCTTGGTTTGGAGGCATTAGATCTAACAGTATAAATCATATTTTTCCTGTTACGCAGAACACCAGCTTGATCAACACCAAGAAGAAGCTGGAAACAGACATCGTGCAAATTCAGAGTGAAATGGAGGATACGATCCAAGAAGCCCGCAATGCCGAAGAGAAGGCCAAGAAGGCCATAACAGACGTGAGTTGAGGGCTTCTTTCGTTGCTGATGGTGGATGTATTCTCCCCTAAAATGTCTCCAGCCTCAAAATGGCTTTGAACCTTTTCTGTCATCAGGCGGCCATGATGGCAGAAGAGCTGAAGAAGGAGCAGGACACCAGTGCTCACCTGGAGAGGATGAAGAAGAACCTGGACCAGACAGTGAAGGACTTGCAGCACCGTCTGGATGAAGCGGAACAGTTGGCTCTGAAGGGAGGCAAGAAGCAACTTCAGAAGCTGGAGGCCAGAGTGCGTAGGGCTTTTATTTGGGCATGATTGAGCGTGTCACATAAATAACCACCAGGGAAGCTCCAAAGATGGACTTCTTGTTGCAGGTGCGAGAGCTGGAAGGGGAGGTAGATTCAGAGCAGAAGCGCAGCGCTGAAGCCGTGAAGGGTGTGCGCAAGTACGAGAGGAGGGTGAAGGAGCTGACCTACCAGGTAAGGCAGGAGGCCTCCTTGGGCTGACAAAGTTTTCTCACAGCAAGTCCAATTTTGCAGACACCGTCCCCAAGGGGAATTATTGACCTCACATGGTGATAAACCAATAATTCACTCTCTTTCCTGTTTACCAACCACTCTAGTCTGAGGAAGACCGGAAGAATATTCTCAGACTGCAGGATCTGGTGGACAAGCTGCAAACGAAGGTGAAATCCTACAAGAGACAAGCTGAAGAGGCTGTAAGTATTGCTCAGAAAATGGGCAAGGACCACCTCGCATCCAGGCAGCATGCTCATTAACTGTCCTCAAAGAGGGATGAGGGTCTTTGCTCTTCAGCTACTGGGGCTCATTGACAGGGCTTTAAGCTAGACTTGAAGGTGGAGGGAGATAATATCAAGCTTGATCAAGACAACCTGACAGCACCAGAAGAGCAGCAAAAAGGAATTCCAGACGCTTCAGCGAGAAAGTCAGCTTCATCAGGGGCCCAACTTAAATGCCTGTATGCAAATGCACGCAGCATGGGGAATAAGTAAGAGGCATTAGAGATGTGAGCACGTCTGCAGGACTATGATCTTATTGGCATCAGGGAGATGTTGTGGGATGAATCCTATGACTGGAGTGCTGGAATGGAAGGATACAAGCTCTTTAGGAAGGTCAGGCAGGGGACACGAGGAGGAGGTGTCGCCCTCTAAGTCAAAGACCAGCTGGAGTGCATGGAGCCCTGTCTGGGAATGGATGAGGAGCTGACTGAGAGCTTATGAGTCAGGGTTAAAGGGAGGAAGTAATAGGCAACATTATACTGCGGGTCTGCTACAGGCCATCTGACCAAAAAGACCGAGTAGACGAGGCCCTGTATAGACAGATAAGAGTAACCTCATGTTCACAAGCCTTGATCCTCATGGGGAACTTCAACCACCCCAATATCTGTGGGAGGGACAACACAGCAGGGTGCAAGCAATCCAGGAGGTTCCTGGAATACATTGATGACAACTTCCTTCTCCAAGTGATAGAGGAACCAATGACGAGAGGTGCTATGCTGGCCCTTGTTCTCACCAACAAGGAGGGGCTGGTGGGGAATGTGACACTCAAGGGCAGTCTTGGCTGCAGTGGTCATGAAATGGTGGAGTTCAAGATCCTTAGGGTGGTGAGAAGGCCACATAGCAATCTCACTACCCAGGATTTCAGGAGAGCAGACTTTGGCCTCTTCAGGGATCTGCTTTGTAGAGTACCATGCGATAAAGCCCTGAAGGGAAGAAAAGTCCAAGAAAGCTGGTTAATGCTCAAGGATCACCTGCTCCAAGCTCAGGAGCAGTGCATCCTAACAAAGAGGAAGTCAGGCAAAAATACCAGGAGGCCTGCATGGATGAACAAGGAGCTCCTGGACGAACTCAAACACAAAAAGAAGGCCTGCAGAGGGTGGAAGCAAGGACACGTAGCCTGGGAAGAATACAGAGAATTTGTCTTGGCATCCAAGGATCAGGTTAGGAAAGCTGAAGCCCTGATAGAATTAAATCTGGCCAGGGACATCAAGGGTGACAAGAAAAGCTTCTATAGGTATGTCAGTTATAAAAGGAGGACTAGCGAGAATGTAGGCCCTCTCCGGAGGGAAACGAGAGACCTGGTTTACCTGGGACATGAAGAAGGCTGATGTACACAATAACTTTTTTGCCTCAGTCTTTTTTAGCAAGAGATCTAGCCACACAGCCCAAGTTGCAGAAGTCAAAGGCAGGGACCGGGAAAATGAAGAACCACCCACCGTAGAAGAAGATCAGGTTTGAGACCATCTAAGGAACCTGAAGGTGCACAAGTCTATAAGATCGGATGAGATGAATCTGCAGGTCCTGAGAGAACTGGCAGATGAAGTTGCTAAACCATTATCCATCATATTTGAGAAGTCATGGCAGTCTGACAAAGTTCCCATCGACTGGAAAAGAGGAAACATAACCCCCATCTTTAAAAAGGGAAAAAGGAAGACCGAGGGAACTACAGGCCAGTCAGTCTCACCTCTGTGCCTGGCAAGATTATGGAGCAGTTCGTCCCAGAAACTATGCTAAGGCACATGAAAGGAGGTGATTGGTGACAGAGAAAATGGCTTCACTAAGGGTAATCATGCCTGACAAATTTGGTGGCCTTCTATGATGGAGTTTCAGTGTTGGTGGATAAGGGAAGAGCAACTGACTTCATCTACCTGGATTTGTCCAAAGCATTTGGCACTGTCCTACACAACATCCTTGTCTCTAAATTGGTGAAACATGGATTTGATGGATGGACCACTCGGTGGATAAGGAATTGGCTGGATGGTCGCACTCAAAGAGTTGTGGTCAACGGTTGAATGTCCAAGTGGAGGCCAGTGGCGAGTCGTGTTCCTCAGGGGTCAGTACTGGGACCAGTGCTATTTAACATCTTTGTTGGTGACATGGACAGTGGGATCGAGTGCACTCTCAGCAAGTTTGCTGATGACACCAAGCTGTGTGGTGTGGTGGACACGCTGGAGGGAAGGGATGCCATCCAGAGGGACCCTGACAGGCTGGAGAGGTGGGCCTGTGAGAACCTCATGAAGTTCAACAAGGCCAAGTGCAAGGTCCTTGAAACTGGGTCAGGGGCAATCCCAAACACAAGTACAGGCTGGGCGGAGAACGGATTGAGACTAGCCCTGAGGAAAAGGACTTGGAGGGAGTGCTGGTTGATGAGAAGCTCAACATGAGTCGGCAATGTGTGCTGGCAGCCCAGAAAGCCAACCATATCCTCGACTGCATCCAAAGCAGCTTGGGCAGCAGGTTGAGAGACGTGATTCTGCCCCTCTGCTCTGCTCTTTTGAGACCCCTCCCTGTGGTGCTGCATTCAGCTCTGGGGTCCCCAACACAAGAAGGACCTGTTGGAGTGAGTCCAGAGGAGGGCCACAAAGATGATGAGAGGGCTGGAGCACCTCTCCTATGAGAAGAGATGGAGAGAGTTGGGGCTGTTCAGCCTAGAGAATAGAAGGCTCCAGGGTCATCTTCTAGCAGCCTTCCAGTACCTAACGGGCCTACAGGAAAGCTGGAGAGGGGCTTTGGACAAGGGCATGTAGTGATGGGACAAAGGGCAATGGCTTTAAACTGAAAGAGGAGAGATTTAGGTTAGATATAAGGAAGAAATTTTTTACAATGAGGTTGGTGAAACACTGGAACAGGTTGTCCAGAGGAGTTGTGGTTGCCCCATCCCTGGAAGTGTTCAAGGCCAGGCTGGATGAGGCTTTGAGCAGCCTGATCTAGTGTCTCTGCTCATGTCAGAGGGCTTGAAACTAGACAATCTTTAAGGTCCCTTCCAACCCAAACCATTCTATGATACTGTGATTCTATGAGTATGAATATCAGGAAAGGATATCATGTCATGAGGCCTTGCTGAGTTCTAGGCACCCTGCAGTAGTCAGGGATGAACTGAGAAAGGTTTCGCAGCCTGTTTCATACAGCAGATCAAACTAAACAAAATATGGAGTCACATCAACTTACAGAGAAGTTCATGAATCTCTGGAAGTAATCAACAGCAGGAGACTTCAGGGTCTTTCTCAATGTAATAAGTCACACTGATAGTGGAGTTGTAAGTAGTGGGAGAATAAGTACACAAATGACAAATTTGAGTGATGAAATAACTCCTCAAGAGTGACAGCATACTGGTAAAGTTTGTCATAGTGGAATCCTGAATAAGGAAGGTTAAGGAGGTCTGTGTGAGGCTTACGTGTAAACAGTGTGGGGTGGGGGATGGAGGCTTGTGCCTTCCCCCAGGGAAGAGCCGCAACCTTGCAAGGCCGAGGGG